AGAGCATGAAACTGTTGATGTCGGGGTCGTGAGTTCGAGTCCCATGTTGGGTGCGAAGATTACTTAATAGACTTAAAAAAAAAAAAGAAAAATAACATTCTATAAAAAAAGAAACATCTCTTCTTTAAAAAAATTACTTAAATGTCTGAGGTTTCCCCCCATTTGTAAAAGTGGGTATCACCTGAATTATGAATAGTATTGATGTAAAAATCAAGTGTCATATATTAAATATGTTTTGAAAAGTAAGTACTAATATATGATGATTGATATTGTTATGTTGTAATTAAAATTTCATCAGGGTAAATAAGTACTTAAAACCAATTTAAAAAAATTTCAATTGCTGTGAATTTAATTTTGGCTCAAAGTTTCTTTCAGTTTATTGTAGCATTTTTGGGGAAAACTATTATAACATCCATATATCTAATTATAATGAAATTAAAATTTCACAGTTTTTGTAACTTTCATGAACACACAGTGATATTGGAAGAAAAACGACTGGACGGCATCCGGCAGCTGACTTTGCATTCAAGGATGGGTTGTCTTATGCAGATACTTTATGTTTTTCCATCCTTACTAGTTCTTAGGGACAAAGTCTGTAAATAAAGGAGTCTCTCCAGGGGTTTACTGTGTTCCCAGTGTCATCTCCCATTCACACTGAATCCTCTCAAAGGCAGCAAATCAAAGGTCTCTGATGTTCTGGAGCCCTCAAGGCAGCTTTGGGTTTCCCTTCTTCAAAGCAGTTTAATTTCCCAACAATAATAAAATAAGATCATTAAAGATCAATGTTATGTGAATCCTCAATTTAAAGTTATCCTGGACTATCTGTAATTCTAGAAGGGCTAAAGTAGGCCTAAGATTTAAGACACACGTATCTTCCCGTCACTGTGGATCTACTCCCTGCTTTGTTGGCAATTTTGCAGTTGAAAATTTGGAAAATGTTAAAATATATCTTAACTGCAGAGATTATTCCTAAAGAATAGTTTCAGAGTAATATCCTTCACATACTCCCATCTATTTTGATTTTCATCCAAGTGTTTCTAAAACCTGTAATAGTTATGATGAGAAATCGATGCACAGGAAAATGGAAGCTTGATAACCAGTGACACAGCAAAGAGCTCCCTCTGTGGCCAGCAGCCTGAATTGCACTTCCATCATGCCCAGAGTGATTTGCAATCCTTGGAAAACCCGATTGTTGTCAGGTCAGGAATTTACATGGCTCCCTTAGGAAAGATGATCCAAGTACCTTTAGAGACATGCTCTCTCAACTCGGTAACTGTAATAGACACAATAAAGGTTATAGAATTATAGAACTATAACCCCAAGCCCTGTGAAGACAGAAGTGTGACAGACCTGCCAATCCAGGCCTCCCACCCCATTGTTGGAGACTGACCCCGCCCACAGCTCTGGGTGCTATGTTGGCACCAGGACACTCTCTTGAACCAGCTGAACACTGACCCTGAATCTGTAAGATGAGGATGGGTGAATCGTCTGGAAAGATTAGAAAAAGGCACAGCTGGGAGCCAGGCCCCAAGGTAGATCAAAATCTACAAGGCACCTGGCACAGCATAATCCCAAATGAGCACAGAAAACAGGACCACAGAGAAGGACAGTAAATGGGAGCACCCGAATTCATGGGGAGATCAGGCCCAGTATGTATATCCTATTTCCCTTTTGGGACTGTACCCTGAATTGGCATATTTACATAGACACATCAACAATTTAGTTAAGCCTAACTTAACATTTCTGTCAAGTTCACTTTTAAGTATTAAATACAATATTTAATACATGATTAATATTAACATTTAATACAAATATTAAATTTAGATGCATTTTTAAGTCTTTAAGAGGAGAGACAGTGGAACTGATAGAAGTACAACAGAAAAGTATGTCACAGGGAGCAATTACCACAGCTTCCTGTGTAGGTCTTGTGAGAAACAGTCAAGGGGATGTGTAGGCAATGGCTCCCCATATACCTGGGGGGCTATGGCACATGTCACATGGGTCGTGGACAGCAAAACTCCTACTGAAGTAAGTACATATGTGAGCCAGGAGCCTTCTTTTATCCCTCTTGAATGTTACAATATAGAAAGCAGACACAGAAGAGGTGATTCTGAACACTGAGGAATATGCAGTGGCCTAGCCTGCCACACTCTGAGTTTGTTAAATTTGGAACTAGGCTGTCTGATAAACTGCATCTGAAAGGTTAACCTGGCTGCAGGTAGTCCCTAGTGACCTAGTCTTTCAGTGTAGGTTGGTTCTGAATTCCTAAGTGTTGTGAATTGGCTAAAAGTGAGTTCTGGATATCCTCTTTGTGGCTGACCTAAGATTTTTTTCTAGAATTGGTCTTCCAGTCATTCTAGCAGCTAGGTGGGTTTAGCACTTGAGGAAGGTATTAGAAGTACAGTGTTTGTTAGAATTAAAATTTGTCAACCAAGAGTAGATATCTATTATTAAAGTTTTGGTATACCCTCAGAAAAAGTTTAAAGTTTAAATTAAGCCAAACAGTTAAAGGTATCAGAATAAGCTTATTCTGTCTGTATTTCTAAGAAACACTAAAAATTACAATAATAAAATCCCTATTATAAATTTCAGACCATCACATATACATTGAAGACACTGTCTTTTACAATGTCAGAAAACTCATTTCTTTTACATAATTATAATAGAGTTAAAATTCTGGTTTGGTCTCACAAAGAAAATTAGGTACAATTTTTATTATGATTAAATAATTTTACATTATTGGGGCACCTGGGTGGCTCAGTCGGTTAAGTGTCTGACTCTTGATTTCAGCTCAGGTCATGATCTCAGGGTCGTGGGTTCGAGCATTGGGCTCCGCGCTCAGCATGGAGTCTGCTTGAGTTTCTCTCACTCCCTCTGCCCCTCCCCCACTCTCTCTCAAATAAATAAATCTTTAAAAAAATAACTTTACATTATTAAAATTAAAAATTAGGACTTCACTGGCCTGAAATAAAAATATTCTGACATGTTGATTCAGAATTAAAGGTTATTTTTATACTTTCCTTTTTTGACCAGAAATATGATTTTTGAGACTGTACCTAATTTTCCCCAAGATGCCTATGTGCTTCTCTGGTACACGCTAAAGACCATATAAGAGAAAGTCTTGTGATTTCACATAATGTGACCTCAGGACATTAGACATTTTCAGCTCTGAAACTACTACAGGGAGCCAACAGCAGCGGTAGTTCTTCTGCCCACTGCTGACTCCCTGTGCATCCTTGAGACCATGAGTTTGGCTTGTAATACCATCCGCCCAGAAAGGGAATAGATTGCCTTAGGCGGTAACTGATTCTAAGACCTGAGCGGAAAAAAATCAAAACGTGTCTGGAGCATGCTGTTGTTTTCAGATACTATGGATACTTTTAGAAATGTCAGAGTCCTGAAAGGACATTGGCATCAACATAATGGGACTTCCTATTGATCAAGTTGTGAGACTTTGAGCATCAAATACAAGCACAGCAAGGTAGTCATAACAAAAAAGTAGTTTAAATTTTTTAGAAAGTAGGGGAGTATTCATATTTTTATTTTATTTTTTTTAAGATTTTATTTGTTTGAGAGAGAGCGCACAAGTGGGGGGGGGAGGGGCAGAGGGAGAAGCAGACGCCCCGCTGAGCAGGGAGCCTGATGCGATGCAGGGCTCAGTCTCGATCCCAGGACCCCGGGATCATGACCGGAGCCAAAGGCAGCTGCTTAGCAGACTGAGCCACCCAGGCGCCCCTGTATTGAGTATTTTATTCCTTCTAATAATTTTGTCTGTTTACAATATTTACATATATAGTTATTTCCAACCAGGTAAGCATCAAAGAAAAAATACACGGAACTAGGAACTTGGCCAAATGATCCTGGTAGAAGGTACTAAAATAAAAAAATAGGGTGGATTTATTAGCATAAATAATAGGATGTAAGGTGAGCACAAATAATAACCACATAGCAGGTGGCACAGGTGGTCATATACAATAATTAGGGAAGAGAGACAATTCAACACTGTATTTTAAAACATGAATTATTCAATGTCCTGAAGAGATAAGTTAACTACACAAACTAAATCCCTCATTACCAAGAAATGAAAGCTCTAGAATCAAGATTCCCAATAAGGAATGCAGCCATTTTAAATAATGAAAACAGAACAGATCAAAATATCCGAATGACAAGCCAACAGGGTAGGTACTACCAGCCATGCAAAGCTTAATACATCATAGCTGCAAAAGATGCCAAGTTTCAAGGACAAATATTTATAAGAAGAGGAATTAATAGTTTACCACACATACACACACACACACACAAAACAGCTTGGCAGGGTGACTCACAATTGAATTACCGCAGCCTACTACACAATCAGGCCAGACTGTGTCTAGACCAAGATTCACCTGGTCAATAAACCCAGATCCTCTCTTTTTCCCTCACCTCTGGTCAGACAACTGAAATTCAGGAAAGCACTAATACTGAGACATTGGGAATAGATCATGTTAAGAATCATATACTGGGAAGTTATTAAGTAAGTACGGAAATAACAAGAAATTACCCAAACCATAGTCTTAATGTTTTAGAATAGGTTGAAGGGAATGTGCAATAATACATTTTATAATCACTGCTTATAGCTATCTTTTACCAGCTGTTTAAGGTGTTATTTCTCCATACTAAATTTGTACTGTTTAAAATTTTTCAGAAAATTTAGTCAATTTTGCAATTAACATTTAAATACTCAAGAAAATTTAGGGTTCCTTAATTTTTTTGGTATGAATGTAATGAAGCAATCCTTAAATGAAGTATTTACAGTTTTGGGTATCCTTCACATCTAAAAGTGCCTCAGACAATGAAAGCCTCTATTATTTTAAAAATTCATAATTCAGGGGCGCCTGGGTGGCTCGGTTGTTAAGGTCTGCCTTCGGCTCAGGTCATGATCCCAGGGTCCTGGGATCAAGCCCCGCACTGGGCTCCCTGCTCAGGAGGAAGCCTGCTTCTCCCTCTCCCACTTCCCCTGCTTGTGTTCCCTCTCTCATTGTCTCTCTCCGTCAAAATAAATTTAAAAAATCTTAAAAAAAATTCATATTTCAAAAGAGTCTGTAATTATGGAATCCTAACAGCCCCTGCTAGAATCCAAAGGAGGAAGTGATTTTAAAAGGACTTAAGACAAAGCTTGAGTTGTCTATTTCTACCAAACAGTCATCATTTGCTTGGTTTTGAAGGACAAATGAATCATAACTTAGTAGGAATCACATTTCCATATTAACCACTTGGGTAGATGCCATGATGTATGATTGAGATTACTGCACATTCTCCTTCTAACTACAGGCTTTAAGTTATGTTGAGGGTAGGTCTCCCAAAGGAACAAAGAATCTGAAGCACAACATGTTAGCTCAAGCAAACGGAAAACTCAAAAGGTCAATACCTCCGAAAGCTACAGTTTGACCAGCTGCCAGATCCTTAGGAATACCACGGAACTGTAAGGATGCCTCTTCAAAGAAGGAAAAGCATTAGTCACATCTAATCTGACACATGAGAATAAACACAGAGATAATATTAGAAAAATCACATGATTTTGGCAAATAATAAATATTCACACTTCGCACATCTTGGGTGAAGGAAAAAAATAGGAAAAAAAAAACCAACAGAAAAGAGTTCATCTAACTTGTTAGCTTTATGAGGGCTACCTTCCTGGCATTTGCTCCTGAGTGAATGGGAGAAGCAATCTTAGGAAGACCCAACCCCCAATTAAAAAAAAGAGAGAAAGAGAGAGAGGGAACAAAACCAACTAAAAAACGAAACCAAAACAAACAGAAACATCTTGGGAATACAAGTATTCCATCTGCAAAATTAAGCACAATGTCAATTACTTCAAATGCTGTATCACACTGCCCGGCATTGATTATACAACTTCGCAAGTCATGAAGATAAACCTGAAATTATAAAACCTGTCGGGAGAGCTGGTATTCAGAATGGTACTCAATATGGCCAATAGTTCTGTACACATACGGACACATGTCGATATCCCGAAGGTGCTGTGTGGAGCTGGGGAGGCTGAAATGTGACTAGAAAGCTTTTCATGATTATGGCTTTTTTCTCATTTCTTCATCCCAATCAAAATCTAATGCTTCGTCATCTAGTTCTGATAAAGTAAAGAGAGAGTTTTTGGAAAGAAGCAATCTCTCAGTGGACCCCTCCAGCTGAAAAGTTTTCCTTTTCCTGCCAAGCACTATAGCTGTGGCCCCAGGAGGAAGGCTGGGGCCTCTCGCCCCCCGGTTCTCACTTTCAGGAGGAGGAGGGGATTCTGATTTGGATTCAGAGGAGGAAGTAAAGGAGAAGTTGGCCAATTTGGCTAATGTGCAAGCATGAACCTTGCTGCTCTTATTATTGCATGAGACCTCTTCCTTTCTGTCTCTTTGACAAGTAAGAGGAGAATGCCCAGTCTGGTTCCCAAGCTCAAATTCAGGCTGGGTAACTCTTCCTTCAGGGCCGTGTTTGCTTTTCTCTCTTGATCTGTCTTCCTCCGGTGCCTGCCGGGACACTTCCTTTGCCTTACCCTGTGGCTGATTTGAGTTTCTGCTTCCTGAGGTAGAAGCCAACTTTTGTGGCCCCTTCCCAGGCAGAGCTGCTTCTCTTCTTGCTCTCTGGTGAGTTCTGGGACTTGGAACTGCTCCTTCAGTTGTGCCAGGAGACACAGCACTGTGGTCTTCAGGGGAGTGGGTCAGTTTTGACTTCTGTTTGAAAGTAAATTTTGCCAGTTTGGCCAGGGGGGGACCTGGACTCTCAACACTTTCAAGCTCAGGCTCTTCCATCTGAGCAAGGGATTTTTGTCTCTTTCTTTTGGGAGTTTCCAGTGTTCCTTCAGGGCCAGGGGCAGGACTGGACCGAGGCTGAGGAGGGCCTGTGGGCTGTAAAGGCACCGTGGTGGGGCTCCTGCACAACTCCTGCGCACCGGCCTTGCGCAGCTGGTGCAGCTTCCTGGGGACGTGATGAGTCAGTACTGAGTCCGGTTCACCAGCAGATCCTGCTACTTCAGAAACGATTGCTGCCCTTTTTGCCTCTTTCCCTTCAACATGGTCTGGCCTCGATGGAGCTTCTGTCTCTCCTGGTGCTGGAAGTTGTCCAGTTTCCAATCTGCTCCTTTGGCCTGGCTCACCCTTTACCTTACCCTGAGATTTGTTCTTGAAGTTTTGCAAAGCCATTTTCCCCCCAGTTGTTTTGGGAAATACAGGCACAGTGTTTTGAGGTTCAAGCTGATGAGTTGCTATGGAGTCAAACCAGCCCAAACTGTCATCTTTGCTATTTTTGTGCTCAGTGGAATATTTTCTATTTGTTGGTCTATTAGGCCCCCCATGGGATAGGGGATCGGGAAGTGGGCTTCCCTTGGGACTGCATCCAGGAGAGGAGGTCAGCATGCTACAGTTCACTTCCTGCTGTGCTGACCAGATTCTGGACTTTGATGCTTCTCCTGGGTCATTTTTGGAGGATCCTGGGTTAGTCTCTGCCTCCACTGCCTGTGGCTGGGATTGGTGCGCACTCTGATTCTGTAACCTGTAGCAGAGATAAGTAAGGAAAATGTATTGAGAGAAGAGAATTTGCGTTAACCTTTCCATTTCTTTAGTCTCTGAGATGCCATCTAAAGGGCTTGAGTCCAACATAATTCCAAGTTAATGCCAAATATAGTCTCTTAGAGCAGCAGGAGGAAATTATCCTTTTTCATCAGTATAGGATTTAAGTGCTCTGATAATTATTTTAAAATTTAGTGAAACAAAGGAAATGAAGTAGCAGGTCTGTCTACTTTTTAAGCTCTCCCTACAAGTCCATTCAAGTTATTTAAGACTGTTTGAAGGTCAGTGTAAAATACTCATTCTTATCTCTCCTGTTAAATGTTCTGCTACAAGACAGGCTTGTCGCTATTTGCATGGTGGCCAGCTGCTGATCAAGTGGTTGTTTCATAGCCAGTTTGCAGATCAGAAACAAAGTGGAAGAGCAGAAATTATGATCTCCTCACATCTCTTGACCTGAGTACTGAATGTTAGTGCACCTACAAGTCCCCTTCCTCGGGAGTAGAGACCATCATGATTCCCGCCACTGTGGCTCACACTGCCCCTGGGGCGGCGCGTGCACGGCACACGCCCTCCAGGCAACTGGGACATCTTTCCTGCAAAGCTCAGCCCCCGCTTCAACATGTGCTCTGGGCAGCTACTCTCTATCAAGCTGATACAGAGGTGAAACCTACTGACCTCCTGGAATGAAGGATCTGATCAGTGATAATCATTTTTAATCTTGGGCATATTAGAAACTGAAATAATTCCAGAGGACCAATTTGTAACAGAGATGGTAGTTTCTCAAAAGGAGGTCCTTCAGAAAGCCCTTCCTAACAACTCAGAAATGGCTTCTCAGTATAAGGGGCAACATGACCCCGCTTCCATGTGTTAAATTTGAAAAGGAATTAAACCAAAAAGCGGATGAGTAAATTACTCTAAGTCATGTGTAATCATAGAAAAAGGCATAGAAGACATTAAATTTAAATGCATTTTAAATTTAAATATATTTAAATACATTAAAATGTTAATGGTAGGCCTTTCTGGGAAATAAGATTATATGCGATTTTTGCTTTCTTAATTTATTACTGTTACTTTCCAAAATACTCTATAAAGAACATGTATTACCTCTTATGATCAGGAAAAAAAAACCACAAAAAATTATTGTAAAAATACTGGGTTATATTCACTCACTGTAGATTTGGACACATTAATACAGCAAAATCCATATTCATTGTAGTCATAACCAAACAACAAGAAAAAAGAAATAGCTTTCAAAATTACTACTATCTGATATACATCAAATTGAGGTTAAGGATATTCATAATTGTTAAAGCTCCTTAAAAATGTTCTAAAAGATAGGGAATTTTAAAGGGGTAGAATAATTTAGCCCTACCATTTTAGTCTAATTCTGACTTTGGCAATTAAATTCTCCCCGGCATAAAATGTCGGCAGTTTTACTATACGTTCCTAAAACACAGCTTCTTTGCATTCTGTTTTCAGGTGGATACAATGGCCACCATTTGAGGCTGGCTGTCACTAGTAAGCATTTTCCAGAATAAAAGTGTGATAAAAATACAAATAGCTGTATCACTCATATTTGACCCCCTGAAGGGATAGAGAACTCTTTCCTAAGGGGATAAACCCATATGCTACTTGGGCTTTTCTCACATGGTAAGATTGGCTTTAGATGTGTCTTGGAGGTCATTCACTTTCATTAGCAATGCACCTGGTTTTATAGCTTTGAGAATCAACACCCAGAACATGCCCCTGCATTTCAAAGACGTCTATACCAGAAGAAAAGAATATTTTAAGATAGAATCCTTTTTTTAGATCATTATCTATTCTTTTTTTTCTTCTTCTTTCCCTCCAGAAGGGTCATTTTGAATTTGGTAAGTCCAACTGCTATTTTTCTATCACAGAACACCAATTCTGAGCTTCGTATTTCTTTCCTTCCTGAATCCAGCATATGACAGCTTTTGGTAGTCCACATGACCAGTTTCTGGTCAGTCAAAATGAGCAGCTTCTCCAAAAGCCAAGCCAGGCCCAGGGCAGGCCTGAAAAGGATCTGCTACATCAAACCATAAAAGAACCAAAGGAATAGCTTTCATCTCAACACCATGCTCTGGATCATTAAAAAGCCAGGAGACCAAAAGGAAAGGGGGTTGATTTTATACAAAGGGCAAGATTACTGCAGGCTGGCACCTGGGTATTAGCAACACAAAGCCAGTCCCCACACTCCCCCAGAAGGCTGTGCTGGCCTTTTAGGAGTTTGAGAGAGAATGCTACTGGATGAAGGCAGTGACTGAAAGGAGAAAAGCCAAGAAAAGAATTCTCAAGGTTTTACTTATTCAGTCAACAGCCCCGCTGCAGTCCCCAAATTCTCCTGCAGCAGCTACTCTGCTTCCACATGTCTCCATTCACCAGCCCCCAGCTTGGAGGTCAACGGCAACAGCCAGACTCAGGGCAGTCACTGAGCCACTTGCATTGATCACGAAGAGACCCAGATGGATATCCCTGCCATTGCTCACTCATGTTTCACAGGTATACACTCCAAGTCTAGCTTTTTAGAAGCTCATGTATGCAGGGAGCATGCAAACATTAAAGTGGGTGCAAAAATTCTTTAGGTAAGGCACGTGACACGTTCCTTCCCATGTGTCCATATTTTAACAAAACTTAGAAAGCGGAGTTTTGAAACATTGCTTTTGTCATTCTTGAGTTGTTACCCTGTGCGATGAGAAATAGATTTTCTTCTTTAACAAAATACATCGTTCTCCCTAGGGATTTTTTTTTTTTTTTAGTCTGTTAAATATGTAAAATTTTAAAAGTCATGACTTTGGGCATGTAGGGAAGGAAAATGATGATGCTGAAGGGAGGGTCAGAGCTGTTGCCTTTCCCAGGTGAAAGTCAGTACTAGTTATCTCTACTTCCCTAACTTTCCCCACATGCTAGCTTTGGCTGGCCTGGGCCTCAGTCTTCTGTGATTTTCTTTCACCAGGGTTATATAAAGATCAAATATTTATTATGCTTGGAGAAAAGCTTAAAAACATTAAGAATAAAATTAAAATATTAATAAACACTAAGATTCTTTATGTAAACTCCCTTGCGCATGTCCTTTCCTGGCAAGGAAAAATGATAAAGCCAAATTATTAAAATATTTTGTGTCTGGGTCTGGCTTGGGGTAGATCACTTTCCTGGAGCCCAACTTCTTCTTTCTTAACAGCATTCCCAGGCACCTCTCTGAATAGCACTGCTCTACTTCTCTTGAGCCAAAGAAAAGAAGAGAAGAAGTAATGGCAGTAAACAGAATGAAGCCCATTTACCAAGATTTCTTGATTCCATGGAAACTGTGTGTCTTCAGTGTAAACTGTGAGTAGCCAAATTTGGTGTTTCTCATGTAATTGGGAACCAGTGGTATAAATTCAGTAAATTAATATATAGTTTGGTATATATAGGAAAGGACCAGCCAGTGTTCTCTATGAGGCTCACCAAACCAGCAAGCCAAGGAAATGTAGCTATGGAAGGTGGTCTCCAAAGATGGCAGCCATCAATTCCCCCGTTCCTGTATGTCTATGTCACCCCTCCCATCAAGAGGTGGTGTCTATTTCCCCCTACCTTGCATGAGGCCTGATCTTGTATAAAATGTGGCGGAAATGAGGTTGTACCAGTTCTGGCCCAGCTCATAAGAGGCCTGGCAGCTTCCATTTTTGTTCTGTTGGAGCCTTAAGCTACTGCCTTATAGTAGAGAGAGCCCAGCCAACACTAAGTGGAATGGAGATAGCATTCTCACTGAGCCCTCCTGAATTTCTGACTCTCAGAAAAGTGAGCACTAAAACGGTGGTGGTGGTGGTGTTTTTTTTGTTTGTTTTTTAAGCCACTGAGCTTTTCGGTAGTTGATTATACAGCAATAGATAACTGAGACAATCCCCCACAGATAGTACAGACAGATTTTCCACTCAGTTTCCACTTTCTTTGTTTCACTAAATGTCCAACAAGGATTTTCCATTATAAGCCTTTCTTGGATTTCTTTTCTCACCTTTCAAGTCTTCTTAGCTCTTCACTCAAGAGGTTGTGCAGCTCTAGCTTTTCCAGAATAAGTTCGCACTGCCTCTGGTACTGCTTCAGGGGGTTTTCAGGAAAGGAAGTGTGGAGCGCATTCACCCCTCCCAGCAGTGCACCACCCTGAAGGGGCGAGAAAATGGAAATATAGCAGGGGGAATCCCCAGGTCAACCTGCATCGAGGAAGCACCCACTAGAGACCACTGCTCCCAGATCAGCCCTCTCCACCCCCATCTTGGTATCAGAATCACCTGGGGGCCTTTTCCAAATTTCAGCAGTTCTCTCCCCCAATTCCTGGTAGCAAGCATTGCTCCAGGAAGCACACTGCCCTAGTGGGGCCATGAGCACCCCTCAGATGTGCTGAGTGAGACCCCTACTGTACACCAGTGGGCAAAAGCGATGCTACGGATGCAAAGGCCATTTCCATGACGAGTTTTTCCTCTTCTTTTAAATGGTTTCCTTTGGATCTATTTCCTTTGGATCTATATCTAGAATACAATCATTTTTATAACTTCTGATACGCTGTAAACTGTCTTTTCTTTCTTTCTTTTTTTGTCTTTTCTTTTTTTACATGCTTATAATTAGCTTTCAAATATTAGGTGCTAGGGGCACCTGGGTGGCTCAGTCGTTAAGCATCTGCCTTCGGCTCAGGTCATGATCTCAGGGTCCTGGGATCGAGCTCCTTGGGAGCCTGCTTCTCCCTCTCCCACTCCCCCTGCTTGTGTTCCCTCTCTCGCTGTGTCTCTGTCAAATAAATAAATAAAATCTTTAAAAAAAACCCCAAAAAACAAATATTAGGTGCTGAACGCTCTCACCTGCATCGAGGATTCCATTACTGACACGGCTGTAACAGCGTCTTCCAGAGTCACAGTGTCACGAAACATCAGGCGGGCATGAGCTACGAAGATTAGGAAGACAGAAACGTCTTTAATGAGTATTTGAAGTGATATATGTAATACTTTATCTGACTCCCCCGAAAAAGTATATTTAATGAATGAGCTACTAATCACAAATTCATTTTACTAAAACAAGCACAAAAGTCTCATTTCAACTAGCTTTAAAGTTGGGTCTAATAAATAAAATAATGGGCCTAATCTTGCACAGCCCATGGCACTTCTGGGCATTTATGTGAAAAAGTACTCTGGGCTCCAAAAAGAAAGGGGTTAGAGAAGCATATCTCTAATATTCAACACCTTTTAATCCTCATTCTCTTGTCTCTTATAGAAATACACAATATCAAACTGATTTCTCACCTCTGGGCTTTTCAAAACTACCAAACTCATCAGCTTGCATTTGGGGTACTTCTTGTCTTAATTTTAGCTATAAATCCTTGACAAAGTAAAGTGCATTGGTTTTATAGAACTTTTTATTAAGCATATATTCTGTCATCGTATGATACATTCAGTTCATGTGGAACTTTTTTTTTAAGAGTTATTTTAACAAAAGCTAAGTGTAAAAGTCACTCTTAGGAAAAAAGTCTTGAGATGCATGTTAGTTGTACGTATGCACGTTAAGTCTCATGCCTTTGGGATGGGCTAGTTTCCTCTGTTAGTGGTGGGGTATGAATAGCAATTAGAAAAAAAACAGAGATGCTATACAGGAAACAACTCTAAACAAGAAAGTGTTCAACCCCAAGTGCTAACAGACTGCCACTGAGAAACAAACATTAGTAAATAAGACTTTCTAAATGAATGATGTCTCTAAGATTCCACTTTCTTTTTTTTTTTTTTTTTTTTTAAAGATTTTATTTATTCATAAGAGACAGAGAGAGAGAGGCAGAGGGAGAAGCAGGCTCCCCGCTGAGCAGGGAGCCCGATGCGG